CCCCATCTTTGAAAACCCACGTGTTACAGACCTTTTTAGGGTAAATACAGCCGCAACTTAGGGCAGAAAAGTGCTCCAGTAACCACATCATTTTTATTGTCGTCATTAGAAAGTATGTTCAAGTTTATGGCACCCATTCCGCACCCGGCCCTGATCTGTCAAAAACTTATGTTAGCAATTCATCCCGACGGATTTTAAGAGATCTTACCTTCCTTTAAGTTTTTGCCTTCCGTGTATGACTCTTTGCAGCCGTAAAGCTCTACACGCATGCACCGCTGACCGAAAAAAGAGGTGGGAAAGAAACGAACGAAACGTGCATTGGGGCGAGGCTTCAGCCAGTGATGGACGATAGAAGACTGTTCTGTATTCCCTTTAAATTTCTTATGAATCAGAAAAAGAACTTCAGTTGGTCACTGTTGCACATTGCTGATCTAATTTTTAAATAAATGGGTGTTTCTCAATCTTAAATTTTTCTGTGTTATTGAGGATTATAATTAATTAGTCAGTTATCTATTGGTAGTCAATTAAATATCTTTGTATCCGCCAACACTTTCTGTTTATCCCTTACTAGGAAAGCTTAACAACTTCGTGCGAAAGTCGTTATATCAGAGCCGTTATTAAAGAGACATCTTAGTACACATTTACCTGCCACTGTATGATTAAAGATCGACCCCAAGACTCTAGCAAACATTTTCCATTCAGTCCAAGCCGGTGAGCAGATGTTGTATTTTTTTTAAGTAAGGAGGCATTTAGGCTTTGTTTGTAAGGGATGTACTTACATGAAAACATGTGTGCACATCGATTCAACAATAACATTTCATGCGCTTATGACTATTTAACAATTATTTGCCGAAGGCGAAGTGAATGTTATTAAACAAAGAGGCAGCTATTTTGAAATTTAGAGCCCCTACTATAATAACCACGCGCGACGTGATTTCTAGCGAGATATGACGTAACTCGGCGACCTATCAGAGCACATGCATCTCTATCATCACGGGGGTAATTATTCTTAATTTGGATGTATAAGTAAATTAAGGCATAAAGGTGATGGGTTGTCTGTTAGTTAGTTGAGCGTAAAATTCTCTAAGAGTCACCTTGTCTTTTCCTTTGCAACCCTCGATTAATATCCAGTCAGTACCATGCAAGCTGTAACGAACAAGATATCCGCTGACCCAAAACTTTTCTGTGACGGCGCCTTGGGTAGAAAACCCTGACAGAATATGAATTGACAGCAAATCCACTTGTAGATATTGTGTTCCCATGTCAAGAGTTGGAGCACTGCACCAAGAGCTGAAATCATGACGGCAACAACTATTACTTTCCATATTTACTTCGTTCAAAAATGCTTTTGAATCCTGATTAATCAAGTCCAGCTTTCACTCGAACCAAAACTGATATCTCGCGGATTGGTCTTATGGATTTATTTTGATTTTTCCTTCGTTAGCTTGAACCCTTGCTTGAACCGAAAAACTCCAACTCTCAAACAAAAACTCAATTATCGTCTGAATTCTCCGTTTTTTACCTAACATTTACTACAGTATATTAGGAAAAGTGTTTATGGCCTAGATGGGAACCAGCCCTAACACTATGTCATTATTTTATTCTTTACCTTTCTTGAGGAGAGCTGATCAAGGAAACCCTTCCCTGTTTAGCAGCGTGGTGCTTATCGAGTTCTGATGATGCAGAGATCTGCTTATCTCGTATTTGTCCATTTCCCAATCCCAGTGGTGACATACAAGCTAATGTGGATTGAATAAAGTCGAACTCAGTTGTTATGCAGTGTTAGTGGACTTCTAAATAATTGCAAAGCAAGTAAAGATAACATCTTGCAAGATCTTTGATTTCTGCCCCAAAGCCTTATAAGATCTTTCATTTCATCGTATTTCACGGGCGGAATTATTTTAGGTGTTTCACGAAAATTAATTGAATTCAGAGGTAAAGCACTTTTAATTACCAATACGTTTGCTGTGTCGTCAATCTGATAATTCAAACATATTGCAACAAACACTTTACTAGCAAACCTTTTAAAAATGAAAAATACCTGCACAGGTCCCATTTTTCACAATCTTTATTTCTCTGTTCTTTTCGCAAGCTGTTTTCTTCATCAGACACTCGTTGTTATACGTCACATTATCCGAGGCACAAACTGGCTTCACAACTTTAGGACATTCCCGAATGCACTCGCATTTCTGTTCGTTTCCCTTGTGCTTCACACAGAAAGAAAACGGTGCAGCACACTTTTTGTCGCAGCCTGAATCTAAACACAACGAAAGGTGACAGCTGAGAACCCCAAGAGCTTGTTTTGATTTAAATTAATCCGTTCGGCTCTTTTAGTCCTTAACGTAAAAAATGTAAAGTCCTCCCATCTTTGAAAAAGCACGCGTTACTAACATTTTTAGGGTAAATACAGCTGCAACTTAGGGGAGGAAAGTGCTCCAGCAACCACATTATTTTTATCGCCGTCAGTAAAAAGTATGTTCAAGTTTATGGCACCGATTCCGTTCCCTGATCTGTCAAGAACATTTACATCTGTCAAGAACATTTACTATTCATCCCGATGGGGTTGTAAGAAATCTTACCTTCCTTTAAGTTTTTGCTTTCCGTATATAAGTGTGACTCTTTGCAGCCGTATAGCTCTACACGCATGCACCGCTGACCGAAAAAAGAGGTAGGAGAGAAACGAACGAAACGTGCATTGAGGCGAGGCTTCAGCCAGTGATGGACGATAGAGGACTGGTTCCTATTCCCTTTAAATTCCTTGTAAATCTGAAAAAGAACCTCAGTTGGTCACTGTTGCACATTGCTGATCTAATGTTTAAAACAATGGGTTTTTCTCCATCATAACATTTCTATCTTATTGAGGATTTTAATTCACTGTCAATTAACTCTTGGGGGTCAGTTAAATATCTTTGTATAAACCAACACTTTTTGTTTTTCCCGTGATAAGAAAGCTTAAAAAATTCAGGAAAAAAACTATTACATCAGAGCCGTTACTGCAGAGATAACGTGGCACACATTCACCTACTACTGTTTAACTAAAGATCAACCCAAGGACTCTAGCAAACAGTTTTCCATTCAATCCAAGCCTAAGCAGAAGTTGTGACTTTTTTTGGTAAAGAGGTATTTAGACTTTGCTTTTGAGAGATGCACTCACATGAAAACATGTGTGCACATCGATTCAACAATAACATTTCACATGCTTATCACTATTTAACAATTATTCACTGAAGGCGCGCTAAATATTATTAAACAAAGAGGCAGCCCGAGGTAGCCATTTTGAAATTTAGAGCCCCTGCTATAATCGCTACGCGCGACGTTATTAGAGCGAGATAGGACGTAACTCGGCGACCAATCATAGCATCTGCATTTCTATCATCACCGGGGTAATTGTACTTAATAAAAACTTCCTTTTGTCACTATATTGCTATTTTTATGTCACCAACTATGCGAGCTGTTAACTAGTTTTGGTACTAGTAAGACTAGAAAGTTTTGTGTACTGATTACAGTTAAGGATAAGGACTTAGAGGGGGAGGGCAGTTGTCAAAAGCCTTGCAGGGCTCAATTTGGAATCAGAGCACAAAGTGTAGGTAAGGGGGGTGGTCACTTTTTAAGTTATCAGGTTAGTGCAAAATTTTTTGGGCTCAGCAAGACCAGTGCCGTGTGGCTAGCCGCCCCAGGGTTCTGGAGTGCAATGAAAATGCTGGTCACGTGACTTATGGATGCTCAAACCCTAACCCTAACACAAATCTAACCCTAACCCAAGAAACTGGAAAAAAGGTCAATGGAACTAACATGATTTCTGCAATCCCAACCCTAACCTTAGGTCACGTAGTCGCAGACTCGTCGTAGCTGTTTCCTGAGGGTGTCAAATACCTTAGTCACGTGATGTCCAATATTCCCCTTAATTTAGATATATGAGTAAATTACCGCATAAACGTGATGGGTTGACTGTTAGTTAGTTGAACGTAAAATTCTCTAAGAGTCACCTTGTCTCTTCCTTTATCGTCCTCGATTAATATCCAGTCAGTACCATCCAAGCTGTAACGAACAAGATATCTGCTGACCCAAAACTTTTCTGTGACAGCGCCTTGGGTAGAAAACCCTGACAGAATATGAACTGAGAGCAAATCCACTTGTAGATATTGTGTTCCCATGTCAAGAGTTGGAGCACTGCACCAAGAGCTGAAATCACGACAGCAACAATTATTACCATCCATGATATTTGATTCGCTGCAAAACACTTTTGATCCTCGATTATAAACCAAGTCTAGCGTTAATTCGAACCAAAATTAATATCTCGTGGATTACCCTTACACATTTACTGTTACCATTTACATTTATCTTCGTTAGCTTGAACCCTCACTTGATCCGAAAAACTCGAACCCTCTCAAACGAAAATATCAATTATCCTGTGAAGTCTCCATTTTTTTACGTAACATATACATGGTATATTACGAAAAATCTTAATGGCCTCAAAGGGGAACAACCCTAAGACTATGTCATTATTTTATCCTTAACCTTTCTTGAGGAAAGCTGATCAGGGATGCCCTTCCTTGTTTAGCAGCGTGGTGCTTGTCGAGTTCTGATGATGCAGAGATCTGCTTATCTCGTATTTGTCCATTTCCCAATCCCAGTGGTGACATGCAAGCTAATGAGCAATGAATAAGGTCGAACTCAGTAGTTATGCCGTGTAAGGGGACCTCAGGTAGGAGGAAAGAATTGTTCAAACAGGGTATCCTATCTCAGATGGAGTTTAGGGGCATACATATTTCTGAAGTCTTTTTAAAGGAAACCTCAGCTGAAAAACAGTTTTTGGTGTCAAAACTTACTTTGTACCTCAGGAGAACTGCAGAATACCCTGCCACTCATTTACATGTCATTGAACGAGAATAGCCTCTATTGTGAAGAACGAAGATAACACAATAGAGGCTATAATTATTCAATGACATGTAAATGAGTGGCAGGGTATTCTGATTATGTAGAGCTACAGTTTCGTCAAAACAACTGAGATCAAAATGATCCGAGCAAAGGTAAGGACACTTGGGTAAATTTTCAATCGGACGGCCAATGGCAACTAGCCGGGAATCAGACGAAATGTGACTTTTTTTTTCAACCTTTCCTATTCCCTTCTGTTTTTTGTTGCATCCATAAGCGCAACAGTGCGGCATGTCGAGTACTTTATCCTTCCTTGCCTACAGTTCGGGACGCCATGTTGAAAGTCGACAACACACTGACGTCATGATCTTCCAGCAAACTTTGCGATAAAAAAATGGCGCCCAGCGGGAAATTTGAAAGCAAAAACACCGACAAATCGAAGACAAAGCATTCGAATAAAAAAGAAAATCCGTGACTTTTAACAGGAAAAACCGATTCAGACAAAGGTAATTTAAAATTTTGGGCAAAAGTCTTTTATAGCCGAGGTTCCCTTTAACGAAAAATTTGTGACCAGAAGGGTGGGAATTCAAATTGTGCGCATGTAGCTGGATGTTTTATAATGTACAGGAGGGGCCGCGAGTGGAATAACAACAGATTAGTGAAACAATTAAGAAAGAGAAATTGAAAGAGTAAAAGAAGCGCTGCAGAGACATAGGCTACCGCCAGCTGCACAGGTTACCAACAGCTCCAAAGGCTACACAACATTTGTCGTTTGTCATGGTTACCGAAACACAGGGAGGTTAGTGGTCTTCAAAGTATGAAGGCCATGAAATAATGCCTCACTCCCTGGGTTTCCCTTCTTCTCTTCTCTCTTGGAAGAAGCATTAAACCTTACTTCAAGGTTTGAATGTAAGCTTTTTATTTTATTAAATCTTCGTTTTCTTAAATAAACGTCATTTTGGATTTACCATGGAATTTCTTTAAATATGGAAAGGAAGGAAATTCAGGTTGTATTGTCGTTCGCGTTTGGTGCAAGCCGCCTCTTTCTAAAATTTCGAGTGTGCCGCGCTTACATTTTTTAATAAATAACAAATACCTGTGCAAGATCCTTTTCCTATAATACTCAAAACAGTTTTCTTTTCACAGGCTGCTTTCTTGAAAAGCCATTCGTTGAAGTACGTCACTCCGTCCGAGCCACAAACTTGTTTCATTACTTTAGGACATTCCTGAATACATTCGCATTTCTCTTCGCTTCTGTTGTTCTTCAGACAGTGTGAGTATGGAGCTGAACACCTTTTCTTGCATTCTTCAAATACTAGAAATATAGAGAGGTATGAAAAATGCACGAACGAACTTCACCTTACGGATACTCTTGTTTTACGGATGCTTATCCATCACCGCTAGTTTCTTGTGTTCCAAAGAATTTTAACATATGTCATGCAAAAAAAATCTCTATGAAGCCAGAGATTTCTGATATGGACAACGGACACTAAATCTCAGCTTTAGAGAGTAAAACCCATCTAGACTCAATCCTCTTATTGAAGACAGTCCGCCTATAATGTAACTTTATATTTTGTGTAGGTGATACAACTGTTGCACAAATATCAACTTTTTCTTCTCCTGAAGCTGAACCCTTACAAAATAAAGTACAGTAGCAATATCAGATTCGATTATCGATTGTATTCAATAGATTAAATAGTATCATTATTCAAAAACTCGTGGTATGTCCACTGCGATCAAGTGTTTAGAAGCTCTGAAGTTCTAATCCTCGTGCGATCGATAAATCGGTCGAACTTCTTTATTTATGATACCGACTAGTTCTAGTTAATTGCCCCAAATGCATTTCCCTGCCTCGCATGCTATTTACCTGGACATTTTTCTCGGCATTTATCTTCAGTCGGAAAGTTGTTGAGGTTCCCATTGCATCCTCCGTAAATAAACGGCTCACATTGTCTAGTTTTATTGTTATAAAACCACTTGCGAATCGAAGCCTTGCAAGTACCAGGCAGTTTGGGTAGATCACACTTTATGGGATCTACAAAGAGTTGACAAGTTATATTTTCATTCATGGTCAGTTAAACTTTGCTAAATTAAGCTTTACTGAG